CAGGCAGCAATTGGTACAGGGACAGCAAACCAGGCGGCATCTGCTCAGCCCCAGTCACGGGCTGCCGTGTGCGCGCGTGTGTGCGCGCGCCTGCCGGCCCCGGCAGCCGCCGCCAGCCCCTCGCCGCGCTGTCCCGCATCCGCGCCCGCGGCTCCCCGCCGCCCCGAGGGGTCTGCACGCGCCGCGGGCCATGCGCTGAGCGCCGCTGAGGCGGAGGGCGCCGGAGCCGCCGCTGCCATGGGCAGCCCCGCGGCCGCTCTCTAGGGCACGCGTGTTCCCCACACGGACCCGCACCCGCGCCCGGGTAAGTGGCTTTGCGCCCGCGGCGGCACGTGGGGGTGGGTGGGCTGCGCGCCAGGACACCCATGGAGGGGGTCGCCCTGCTGTCCCCGGGGTGCTGGGGAGCATGGGGCTCCCGGGATGGGGCGCCCGGGCACGTGGGCAGGGTGGGAAGGTGCCGCTGAGCCTGCCCGGGAGCTGCGGCGGGAGAGGAGCGGGAGCGGCGGGCGCTGGGCATGCTGCAGGCGCGGGGATGCGGCCCGCGCGCCGCTTCCATCCCTCCCCGGGAGACGGAGACGCGCGACACACCTAGAAAATCCGCGGCAGGCTGAGCCGGGCGGGCACGGGGGGCTCGCGAGAGGCGGGTGGCAGCTCCCGGGCCCCTGCAGGGGACGGGGACAGACCCCGGTCCCCTGCTGCACCCAGGTCACCCCCCAGCCGCAGCTCCGGCGCTGCCCGTGGGAGGGGACAGGCAGTGTCCTTGGGCATCCCCTCCGGATACGAGCCCTTCCACCTGCTGTAACCCCACGGACACGCACCGTGACACACGGTGCCCCCCTCCTGCCCCACTGCCACCAAGCCCCCCCACAGCCCCCCCCCCAGGTGCAGTGCAGGGCCCCCCACCCAGGCTGTGATGGAGGGATGCAGAGAGCCAGTGGGGGCCAGGGCACATCCCCCTGCCAGCCCGAGGGTTCCTGGATGGCAAGGAGGGTGCCAGCACCCAGCTGGCACTTGGACTAGGCCAGGCACCATTTGCCCTCGTTTTGCTCCCCTGGCTCTGCACCGAGGATAGCCTGTGGGGTAAGGTGGGCACAGCCGCGCAGTGGGGCAGGCAGGGAGGCACCGGCCAGACCCACGGGCGCGTGCACCACGCCACGAGCTCGCTGTGTTGCCGCCTGGTGCTACAACAACCCGCGGTCCCTGTAACACACCCATTGTGCACCCAGAGCTACAACTGCCATACTGCACCCATAACCACTGCAATAACCCACCCAGCACCCATAACCACTGCAACAACCTGCTCTGCACCCATCGCCGCTGCAACAACCCACCCAGCACCCATAACTGCTGCAAAAACCTCCCCTGCACCCATAACCACTGCAACAACCCACCCAGCACCCATAACCACTGCAACAACCCGCACTGCACCCACAGTCACCACAACCGCCTGTCCCGCACCCATAGCGGCTGCAACAGCCCACCCTGCACACCCGTCCAGGCCGTAACACCCGCCTGCACCCGCAGCCAAAGCACAACACCCACCGCGCGCTCGCAGTCACCGTAACCCATCCCCGCTGCACCCACAGCCGCTACACTGAGCCCGGCACGCGCAGCCGCCACAACATCGGCACCCTGCCCCACGGCTCTGCCCCACAGCTCTGCCCCTGCCCAGGCCACCCCATGCCCTCCGTCGCCCCTGTATCCAGCCCCCATAGAGCAAGCGGCTTGTAATGCCCCGTGCCCAAACACAGCCCCGTGCCTGTCGCTTCCCAGCGCAGTGCTCCCTGCCATCCCGCAGTCTGCATGCCCCAGATTTTACAAAATCCCCAGATTTTCCTGCCTTGCGGGAGCTGAGCGCCGGGGACAAGCCGGGTGAGCCGAGCCAAGCTGAGCGGAGCCGGCGTTCCCCTCCATCCATCCCTTTCTCCCAGCGAGGGCAGGTGCGAAGCCTCTTCCTCCATGGCGGAAAATCCTTGTCCTTCCCCACACCGGCACCTGCGGCCGAGCCCCGGGGGTGCTGGGGGTGCTCCCTGCCTTGCCATCCAACTGGTGCTCCTGTCTCTCCGCTCTGCACTATTGCAGCCATCCTGTCCTCCCGGGGCGCCTCTAGGCCTCGTTTTCCCCGTGCAGGGAGCTCCAGGGCGCCAGAGAGCTGAATGCATTAGTGCCAGCGGGAGAGAGCAGGCCAAGCGCTTCCTAGCTCCATGTTTTGCTCCAGTGCTGAAGGAAGAGGAGCTTTTTCCCATCACAAGAGCAGGGGGAAGGGGTGCTGCCCCGGGGGATGCAGGCTGGGCATGCAGGGGAAGGGGAGGAAGATGCTGTGACAGCTCCCTGTGCTGGCACGGCTCAGCAGAGCCAGGGGGTTGGAGCCCGGATTTAGCTCTTTGACTGGGGGGGGGACCTAAAAATAGCCCCCATGCCAAGAGCAGGCACCAAGGTGCCTTGTGCCAAGGTGAGCAGGGTGGTGGCACCGGATCCGGCACTGCCACCGCGCCAGAGCCGGGCGCCACCGAGGGCGTCCACAAATAGCAGCGGTGACACCTCCCCGCGGACGCGGGAGCCGCTGGCAGGATGCGGCAGCGCGCGGATCCCGGCTGCTCCGGGGCCGGCTCTTCCTGGGCAGGATGCGGCAGCGCACAGATCCCGGCTGCTCCAGGCTCGGCTCTTCCCGGGCCTCTGGCTCGGCGTCCCCGCCGCCCCCTGGGACCCCCAGAGACTCAGAGGGGGCCCAGGAGTCCTGAGCGGCACCGGGCTCTGCGCGAGGTCCCAGGTTGGCAGAGGACATTCGCCAGGGCCTGGACACTTTGACACTTGGAGCTGGGCTCCGCAGCATCCATGGGGCCAGTCCATGGGCCATGCACACAGAGACATGTGGCACGGTTGGGGCCTTGGTGGCACTTGGTGGCAGAGGCAGCACTGGGGGGTTCTCCCTGCTGCACCCTCAGGTCGGTGCTTTCAACACTGCCCTGAGCAAGAGCCAAAGCTGCCCACGGGGTCCTGAGCAGCCCGAGCAGGGGGGCGGCTGGCGCTGCAGGGCGGCACAGGAGGCCCCTTCCTCTCCCTCCGGCACAGCCGCCGGGATGCCGGCACTGCGGCTCGCACACGTGCCTCGCGGCTCTTCCCCGCTCCCCGCTTTGCAAAGCCCGGGCACCACGGCACGCCAGGCACCCCGCACACCCACCGCGGGACACAGGCTGCCCGGGGAGGCACGAACGCCGCCCATGCACACGCGGCGGCACCGCGGGGGCGCACGCTCCGGGCACGCACGTACACGCACGGCGCGGCTGCGCGCAGCGTGGGGCACGCGTGCAGCGCCCCCGGCTCCACGTGTGCGCATCCACGCGCAGATGGCCCCGGCGCAGGGGGCCGGGCGGCAGCACGCGGGCGCCGGCGGCGCTGTTTGGGTTGGCACACGCGCGGGCCCGCGCGCCGGTTTGCGCACGCACGTGAGCAGCGGCAGCGTCTTCATGCGGGGGCAACCAGGCGAGCGGGCGGCCGCGCGTCTGCCAGCGGGTGCCAGGGCCGCCACGCATGACGTGGCCGCTGCGGCGCGTGGGGACGCCTGCGTTCCCACGTGCCGCGGGCATCGGCGTGCGTGGGCGCCGCGCGGGGCCGGGTTTGCCCCTCCGGGAGGGTTTGGCAAACGCGCAGCAGCCCTCGCTGGCCATCCCGACCGGCAAACCGGCTGGCGTGGGGAGGAGGGGAGGCCCGAGAGCTGCTGCCTGCCGCACGCTCGGCTCCGCGGCGCTCATGCGGAGTAGCTGTAATTACCGCGACGAGGCTCCCTGCAGCGCGGCGCAGTCCTGCGGCCATGAAATCCCAGCGCTTGCACGTGGCTGCTAATTAGCCCTACCTGGGGACTTCCGTGCCTCGGCACGTCGGCCCCGCTGCGGAGGCCGGGAGATCACTGCTCTGATGCCCTCTCTTGCGCGGTCACCCAAGGCCACCCCTGGGTGTGGATTGGGAGCTCCTCTTGGGTGCAGCATCTCCCACAAAGCCCTCATAGCTCCCACAAAGCGTCCTCAGATGGGCACTGGGCAGTGCTGGCACACAGACGAGGCAGTGCTCTGCCCCCCATCACTGGAGAGCAAACCCTTCTCTCTAGCTTCAGCCCTTCCCATCCCTGTGCCCCGCGCTCTGGGTGTTCCTGCTGGAGCAGGGGGTTGGCCTAGATGATCTTTAGAGGTCCCTTCCAACCTCAACCCTTTCGTAATTCTGTGTTTCTCCAGCCCAGGATCCTGCCCACCTGCACTGGGACACAATCCAAGCTGCTCCTGCTGTTGCCCTGTCTGTTTTATCCCAAATACATCTGAGTCTTGCACCCCAAGGCCTCTTCTTTTCCCTCAGGCACCCCCAGGCCCATGCACTGCTCCCCTTCCACCGCAGCATTTTCAGAGCCCCCTATGGCTGGCGCAGCCTCCCCACCAGGCTGCTTGCTCCGACCCCAACCCACATTTCAACGATGGAGGCAGGATGTGTAAGTCAGAGCAGCAGCAGTACACACGCGAGCTTGTGAGGAGGAGAGAGACGAGGCAGCAGCAGCAGGAGAGATGTGGGGAGCGTAAGAAATCACCAGCGCCAGCTCGTGCACAGCCTGACCCCGGGCAGAGCTGCTGCGAGGGCAGCCACTGCTCCTCACCCCTGCTTGGCCCAACCACGGTTCCTCATACACCAGTCGGTGTTTCCAGCACACCAGCCTACCCAGGACACCTCATTTGTCCCTGCCCTGAGCTCCTCCCCGTATGGCCATAACACAATTTTTGGGCTGGAGACATGGGTCAGTGCTACAGGAGCAGGGACCAGTGCTGCACCTCAAGGCTGACTCCCTCCTCCTCCTCCTCCTCCTCGCAGAGCCATGGGGGTGCTGATGTCAAGGCGGCAGACGGTGGAGAAGGTGCAGAAGGTCAGCTTAGCCGTGTCAGCCTTTAAAGACGGGCTGAAAGACCAGCCGTCGGCGCGGCGGCGCGCGGAGGCCGAGGGCGCGCGCCGGGGCACGCTGGAGCAGGCGGTGCAGGAGGGCGAGGACGAGGCAGCCGCAGGGCCCTCGCAGCCGCAGGAGAGCGGCGCCAGCAAGGCCGCATGGGAACGGCTGCGGGACGGCCGCGGAGTGGAGCCGGAGGAGCTGGAGCGGGCTAACAGGTTCACGCCGCCCGCCTTCATCCGGCCCACGCGGGAGCTGCACGACGACGAGCCTCTCGACATCAGCCTGGAGCACCGGGAGCAGGCGAGCACGCACGGCCAGCTCCGGCTGGAGCGCTGGGATGGGGCGAGAGGGACAAGGACAGAGGGGCAGAGAAGGGAGAGGACACACAGCAGCCCTGCAAGGGGATGCGCAGGCGTCCCTAGCACCCAGCAGCCAGGGACAGCCTGCCCAGGCCCAGAGGACCTCATCCAGCATGGAGATGGGTGCTGGAGAGAGGAGCGCTCCCTCACCAGGGAAGGGACTGGGCTGAGAGCCGGGATATGTTATTCAGGGAAGAGGGTGCTCTCAAGGGTTAGTCCTGGTCAGGTGTGGCCTGGAGGGACCCTGGGATGCCTAGGAGGGGAGGAGAGAGGAGGAGTTACTTCTGGGCACAGGCAGCTCCAGCTGTGGGGAAGAGGGAAGGAACATCTCTGATCTAGGGATTAGTCCACACAGTTCTACAGTCCACCAGCCTACAACCCTACCCACTCCTCCACACCTGCAGCCCTACTCCCCGCTCCACACCAAGAGTCTTGCCCATCCCTCCACACCTACAACCCTACCCGTCTCTCCACACCTACAACCCTACCTATCTCTCCACACCTACAACCCTGTCTCTCCACACCTACAGCCCTACCCATCTCTCCACACCTACAACACTACCCATTCCTCCATTCATCTACCAACAACAGGCCAGCACTCCAGTCAACCTACAACCCTACAGCCCATCCACCCACACCTACAACCCTCAGTGCTACCCAGCCTACAGTCCCACAGTCAATCAGCCCTAAGCACTGCTCTGTCCATCTACTCTTACCAACTCATCCACCCCACTCCAAACCCACACAGCCAGTAAGTAACCTGAAAGGCACTGCTTCATGGTGCCCTGAGCACCCCACATTGAGAAGCTGGCCTCTCTGACCACCCTGCCTCTCTGAGTATCCCCATGGCAGTGAGACAGAGCTGCCCACCCCTCCGCAGGTTGTCAACGATGAGATGTGTGAGATCTGTGAGGTGTGGACAGCCGAGAGCCTCTTCCCTTGCCGCATCTGCAGCCGGGTGTACCACGACGGCTGCCTGCGCCGCATGGGCTACCTGCAGAACGACAGCGCCGTGGAGGTGACAGAGACCGCGCACACCGAGACGGGCTGGAGCTGCAACTACTGTGTAAGCTGCAATTACCAGGGCAGTGGGTGAAGGGCTTCTGCTGCACTGGGAGCAGTGGCTGCTCCCTGGGGAGCTAGGCCCAAAGAGGACACAAGCAGGGTCTCATGTCATGGCCTGGTCCAGGAGGATGGGCCACCTTGTTCCTTGGCTCCTCCTGCAGCCCATCTTGGCTGGACAGGTTGTTGCCAGAGGAGAGGGGACAAAATGACCCTTTGCAATCTGCCCACACTGGAACCCTGACCTGCAGCCTGTCCCTGCATCTTGGCAAGAGGTCTTGGGGAGGCAGAGACACCTTCCCTTCAGGAAAGCAATGTGGAGTTTCAAGCAGCTCCAGTCAGCAGCTTTTAGGCCAAATCCTTCTGCAGAGCACCTCCTTCCACCTCCAGGTTGTTCAGGAATTCAGATTGTTCAGGAGACCACTCGAAAATGTCCCCTCCCTTAATTAACACTTCAGATCTGGAGGTGCAGAGTCTACTACCCCTCCCTTGAGCTTCTCTTCCTCCGACTGGACTGACATCCCACCGGGGCCTGGTGGCTCCTTGGGACATGCCACTGGCCAGGCAAGGAAATCTGGAACCACATGCCCAAAGGCTGAAGGTGTGAAGCAACCACCCTGCATCTTCTCTGGGTAATGCCAACGTGGGGTGCCCGCTCATGGTGCTACACCCAAGCACCCATCCTTGCAGGTAGTTCTCCCTTCCTGGGCTCGGATGTCCATAAGACCATTCTGCAACCTAGACGTGTTGCCACATCTGACCCGAGGCACTGTGCCTCACCTTTGCAACACGCACCCTGACTTCCCTTCTCCACCCCAGGACAACCTCAACCTCCTGCTGACAGAGGAAGAGATGTACAGCCTGATGGAGACCTTGCGGCAGTGCAAGATCATTCCAGGTGCGGAGCCTCCCCGTGGAAGCACGGGCTGAGCCCCCACTCTCCCCTCACACAGTCCTGGTCCATTGGCTGGGCACTGCTGGTCCAAGGTAGAGATGTTGCTGTTACCCTGCCTGGAAAGACAGAAGGTAAAAGATAAAAGGTAGAAGGTAAAGAAGGTAGATTGAGGGGTCTCTAGTTAGCACTAGAAGAAGAAGGGAAGAAGAGAAGGAGAAGGAGAGAGATGGGGGAAGAGGGAATGTGTGTGGAGCCCCCAGGGGCCTGGAGAATGGCAAGAGGAGAAAAGCTCTCCATCACTTTGAGGCTCCCTGAGTGGCCTCTGAGAATCACCCTGCTTCATGTCCCCAGTCTCAGGCCAGGCACAGGGAGGCCTCAGACCGCCCAGGTGCTGCTCTCCCCAACAGCAGTGCTTATAGCCCCATCACTGGGCTCTCCCGAGGTGCCCGTGATGTTGACTCTCCACGTGCTGAGATCCACAGGAGGATCTCCAGGAGACAGGATGCTCCTGGGAAGGCAGGTCCCCCTTCCAGGGCATCACACACTGACAGGCTTGCTCCTGCAGACACCTGCCTGACTCTGGATGACTTCCTGCACTACAAGCACCTGGTGCACAAGCAGCAGTTCGAGAAGCCCATGGCAGAGGCCCAGGAGGAGCAGGCTACCCTGCAGTTCTCCGCCCTGGACCCCGAGAAGAAGGGGCACATCGAGTGGCCGGACTTCCTCTCCCACGAGTCCATCCAGCTGCTGCAGAAGCTCCGGCCACAGGTACAGCAGACACGGCTTGGGGGCCACCTCCACACCAGAAAGGAGCTGGTTGCCAGTAGGTGTTGACTACAGGTCAACCTTGACCCAGCAGCAGGCTCCTGACCCATCAGACATGTCCCCCAGCCCCCTGGATGGTGGTAGCGGCATGGGAAGGTGAATAGCTTGGGCACTGGTGGGACTGGAGGCATCCTGGGGTCAGCGGGAGGCTCCCAGTGTCCAGGCTCCTTCCCTTGACACAAGAGGGAGTGTCCCACAAGTGTCCCTCTCCCCTATCCCCTCTCCATGCCAGAACTCCCTGCTGCGGCTGCTGACGGCCAAGGAGCGGGAGCGGGCGCGCGCGGCCTTCCTGGCCCTCGACCAGGACGGCGACGGCTTCATCGCGGAGAGCGAGTGCCGCAAGGCCCGGCACGCCTGGTTCCGCAAGCACCAGAAGGAAACGCCGTCCTGCAACGTCAGGTAGGGAGCCACGACGCCGGGCGAGCGGAGACCCGCATGGCACCGCTGCCCGCGGCGGGTGCCCCAGCGGAGCTCCGGCACCATCACACAGGATCAGCTTGGGAACAGAGGCCCCTTCTCCACCTCTCCCTCTCCCCACGGGGTCTCCTCCTCCATGGCCTCTCCCTCCCACTGCTTGGGGCGGGCACGCTGCCGCGATGGCCTCTGCCCGTCAAGAGCAGCGCCCCGCTCTGCCCTGCAGCATCAGCCACGTGGGACCCATGTCCGAGAGCAGCCCTGCCAGCAGCGGCAGCAGCAAGAGCCAGGAGAAGACCCTGCTGGCCACGGAGCAGGAGGAGGCCAGGTGAGGCCGGCGATGGGGCGCCCTGGGGGTCACGGCGTGGCCGCGCGCCCCGGGCCTCTCGGCGGGCACGTTCAGCGCGAGCTGGTGGGGAGGATGCCCCTTTCCCGGGGTGCAAACCTTGGCCAGCGGCGGGGCGGCCGTGCGGGGAAAACAGGCGCCGGGGGCGCCCGCTGACGCCGCCCCCGGCCCCGCAGGCCTGTCGACTGGCGCGGCTTCCTGCGCGACAACGTCGCCTACATCCTGGCCGCGCGCCCCAACAGCGCCGCCGTGCACCTGAAGCCGCCGGCGTAGCGCCCGTGCATGCCCCGGCGCCCGCCCCGCGCCGCCGTGGCCGCCGCGGCGCCGCCTCCCTCCTGCTCCTCCCCGCCGCCGCTCGCGGCGCCACGGCAACCCGCCCTGTGTGCTCCTATTGGCTGAGGGGGGCCACGCCCCCTTGCCACGCCCACCCATGCTGCGCCACGCCCTGGCACCTGCTGGCTGCCCATTGGCTGCCGGGGAAGTGGCTGCGGTGGCCACACCCTCCCTGGCTCGCTTTGGATTGGCTGAGAGAGGCCTGCACAGGGTGGGGCCCAGCAGGTGCCAGGCTATGATTGGCTAGAGGTCTGAGCAGGGGGCAGTCCTGGGGGGTTCTGCGCTCTGATTGGCTGGGGGAAGGCAGAGCTGGCTTCTCCTGGGCCCCTCTGGTGAGGGGCGAGAAGTGACCCCAGGAGCCGGGCACAGGGACCCTCCTGGCCCCACTGCGGGGACAGCCATGTGTGTGGGGTGGGGGGCGCCCAGGTGTCCTGGCCCCACTGTGGGGAATCTCCCACGTGTGGGTCAGGAGGCGCCCTGGATGCCCCAGACCCCACAACGGGAGTGCCCCACTTTGGGGCTGGAGATGCCCAGGGATCCCCGGACCTGATGCAGGGACAAGCCCATGTGTTGGTGGGGGGCACCTGGGATGCTCCCCACGGAGCGCTCCGCAGCATCGGCCGGGAGCATCTGTGCCCGGGGCGGGGTCCAGGGGCTGTGCACGGGGGCGGGCGTGGGGCTGGCCGGGGGTGCAGGCGGGACCTGGGGGCAGCAGAGCTGGGACACACGGCAGCAGAGCCGAGGGCTCCCCGTCCTGGGTGCCGCGGCAGGGCAGCATGGCACTTCCCGGGGCAGTGCCGCACGCTTCCCGGAGCAGCACAGTGCTTCCCAGGGCAGCACTGCACTTCCCAGGGCAGCATGGCGCTTCCCAGGGCAGTGCCGCACGTGCCAGAGCCGGCAGCAGCATCCCGATCCCGTGGCCATGGCTACCTCAGCCCGTTGGCTGAGGGAGCTCCCGGAGACGCGATGCACTATCAGGATCCCCCCCAGTGCCACGAGCGCCGCTGCCCCGGCCACGTTTCACATGAGGGGGCAGTTTTGGGGGCAGAGCCGGGGCTGGGGCGGCCTGAGCCAGGGCAGAGGGGCGGCGGGGGCCGTGCGCGTCCTAACGTCAGCTCTGTACCGAGACGCGTCCATTAAACAGTAGTGTCCGACCCCCTTGTGGCTGCCGTCCTTCCGGGGCCCGCGCCCTGCCAGCACAGAGGGAAACAAGGATGTGTCTCCCAAGGAAGGATCCCTGGGGAGAGGCATCCCAGGGGCAGGTCCCCATAGCTGGGAGGCTCCTCCAGGGGCAGCAAGACCTGCTGAGCAGGCAGAGAAGCTGCTGCTGGTGATGCTGTGGGCTGCTGTCATCCCAGAATCCCAGTGGGGATTAGGAGTGGGGAAGGGCAGGAGCGGGGAAGGCTGCCCTGGCTCCCGTGGGGTCTCCGGGGACACCAAGATGCCTCGCTTGAATCCCAGCTCCATGCCCACTGCTCCTGCCCCGTGAGCGGGACACCCGCGGTGCCTGTGCTCAGGTTCATGGCAGAGGACACCTTGCTAAAGGCTGGTCTTTCCACGCTCTTCTCACACTACCGCACAGCTCTGCCCATGGAGGAAGCCCTGTTCTGTGGGCAGCATTTCTCCTCAGGGCTGTCCTGCCTGACTCCAGACCCATCAAGGAGTCTCCTCTTCGCTCTTCAGTGAGAAGACAACTCCATGCAGGAGAGCAAAGCTGCAATTCTCCTGGCACGAATCACGTGCTGCTGCATAAAACAGACTCACTGGCCGGTTCCCCACACCCTCACACGGGGCAGGGAAAGGAGAGAGCTGGGCTGGACTGGGGCAGAGCACACACTGGTCCAGGGGAGCCTGGGGTGGGAACTGCCAGTTGCCTGCAGCCCAAATCTATGCTCTGAACATGCCACAGGATCTGAAGGTACCTTGGACAGGTCCTGCTAACACCAGCTCCCCAGGCCAAGGACAATTGATGTCCAACAAAAAGGGCAGGGAGGTGCTCGGCTCTTCTGTGCGGGATGTGGAGCGAGCCCGGCAGGTCTCATAGCACCAGACCTACTGGGCACCCATCCCTCCTTGTGCAGCCAACCGGGCTCTGCCCTGGCTCCCCGCAGGGCAGGGCACCAGAGGAGCCCACAGCTCCGTGTTCTTTCCACTCTGGGAAGACCTGGGAAGATGAAGCAGGTTTTCAGGACGTGTGGGTCCATCCCAGAGGCACCATTGCCAAGCTCAGCAGGCGCAGGGGTCTGCTGCAGCATCACTAAGCTCTTAGCCTCTGCCCACCCTGTGACTGGGGACCCTGGCTGGGCCAGGAGGGACATGTGTCCTTGCAGCAGCCTGTAAGCCTGTCCCAAATGCAGTGCAGATCTCCCCACCACAGCCCTGGAGGCCTCACACCAAAGCACCGTGAGCTCCAGTGGGATGTGAGACTGGTGCAGGCACCTTTGCCAGCCCTGCTCCCTTCTCTTCTATGGTTGCCCACACTGCCTGCTCAGGGTGTTCCTGCTCTTCCGGGTGCTCTCGCATGGGGACCCCATCATGCTGAGTGGTGTTCCAGGGTGTGGGGGAGAGCAGGGCCCTGCTCTGCAGCAAGGCTGCACCCTGTGCTGTGCACTCAACCATCGCACCACAGGGCCACGACACCCCCAAAACCTCAGCTTGCAGGCAAAGCTCAGCCCAGCACCCTAGGGTGCAGCAGAGGCCTCATCCAAGCCGGGGCACCCGCCTGATCCATGTCCCTCTGCAATGGCACCTGACCATTGCATGTCCCTCTCATCAGAGTCAGCCGGTGCGGTCCAGGCAGCTCTTGATGTGCATGGAGAACCATGTGGACAGAGGTGACCTGGAGGGCTGGGACAGCTTTGTGGTGAGCTGCTGGGCATCAAAACAGGGTTCTCCAGGCAGCAGGTGACAGCGAAGGAGGCAGATCCCAGAGATGTTGTCACCCAGTAGCCCCAACCATCCACTGCCTGCCCTGCTTCACGATAGGACCTTCTCTGGGTCACCCCAGGCTGCCCTGCCTTGCCAGAGCAGGCAGCGAAGCAGCTCGCGGGGAGGCTGTAAGAGCACAGGCAGCACGGGGAGCATCGCGGGGCAGGGACGGCTCTGGCACCTCGGCTGCTCTTTCCTTGAACCACCTCGTCACAACTGACAGGGCGAGTTCTGAGCTTGGCCATGGGCCCAACGGGAGGATCAAGGAGTCCCTGGATGGGCAGCAGGGCCAGGGGGTTGTGGCGGGAGCCAAGGGGATGCGGTTGTGTCCCCTCTTGCAGCAGAAAGGCGGCCACAGGGTGTCGCTCCTGCACTGCGCCCAAGAGCACCCAGTGCCACTTCTGGACCTGCACACCTGCACACCATCCCCAACCTATGCCAGAAACACAGCACGAGGGGGTCCTGGTGGAGCAGGGGGGCTGGGACCACCCCGCCAGCTCTGTGTCCAACCTGGCTCCCATCCCTGCAACAGCTCCAGGCACGGCGCAGACACGGCAGCTCGCACATCCCGGCATGGTGGGACCCTAAGGACCCATTCCCACCCTGGGAGAAGACAGCATTCCCAGGGGAGCTATCTGCACTCGGACGCCCTGGTTTGGGCGCTGGACTGCGGGTTCCAGCATCCCTTCCTGTCTGGGGAGAGGTGGGAGCTGTGGGTCCCCACCCTGGGGCAGGAGGGGTGGGGGGAACAGCTGCACCCAGTGGGGCCCAAGCAGCACAGGAATTAACGTCAATCCCCTGCTCTCCCTCTGCTCCATCTGGCACCCTGGTGAGTGACTACCCCTTCATCCTGGGGTGTCCTATACCCCCTCTTTGGTCTGCCAAGTATTCCCGTAGCAGCAGCTCTTTGCCTGCTTCATCCTCTCCGGCCATCATTCTGTGCCTGTAGGAGGTCACTAGCTTGAATTCTGTGGAAACGGCACAGAAACAGATAGTGGGGGGATGAAAAAAAAAAAAAAACAGGCCACAATAGTTTAAAGGGCCTGAAGTCCATCCCAGCTTGGTGGCTCTGAACCTTGCCAGATATCTGGTACTTTTGCTCCACCAAAACCAGTCAGTAGTTCAACTCTGTCCCAACTAAGAACCAGGAACAGTTTTGCAGACTCCAAATGCCTGGGAGCAGGGAAGTCCTCCCCTTCACTGCCCTTTCCCCTGAGCAGGCAGTGGAAGAAGGTGGCAGTGCCAGCGCTGTGAGTGGGGACAGCAAGGGAGCAGCTGCCTATTGCTGGCCCCACGGCCACCTGGGCACCTTTGTGGTGCCGAGCACCTGCAGGGTCCACTGCTTAGAGCACCATCAGAACGGTGCCGGATTCCCTGGCAATGGAAACGCAGCTGGGCGCTGGGAGAAAACAGCATCTCCCACCAGCATCTCCCCTTGCAGAGCAGCAGGAGCAGCGAGCTGAGGGGCCCCTTGGGGCCACTGGCCCAGCCTTGGTGCAGCCAGGAGTGCGGAGCCCACGCCGCGGGGCCGGGCAGCGCCATCCCCGGCACGATCCGCGCCGCGCGCCAGGGCTGCCAGACGCCTCCTTCTGTTCACAGGCGGCCGCGGGGCCGCGGGTGCCCACGCCGAGCCTGGCGCTGGGGCGCAGGGAGCTCCCCGCTCCCGGCTGCGCTGGGTGGGGAGGTGGCGATGAGCAAGAGGTGCAGCCGCGAGCTGGGTGTCCAGGGCCTCTCCTGCAGTATGCGGTCAGCTGGGGGCACAGGCGGACACCGAGAGCCCTGGGCGCCTCCATCTGTGCCCTCCGCATCCCCCCATTGCCCCTGCTGTGCAAGGGGACCGAGAAGGGGCACAGGGGATGTGGCCATGGCCCTGGCTCCCCTGCACTGTGCCCGGCCGTTCCCTGTCTGCACCTGGATGGCTCCTCATGCAGCCGCTGTAGGAGGGAAATCATTTGATGCTGGGCAATGGTCCCACCATCTCCTTTTGGTGGTGCAGCTCCGAGCCCCACTGCTCAT